TTCTTGACAATAAAAACTTAAGGTTAATAAAAGCAATAGAAAGAATAACAAGAACAAGAAAAAGTTGCGACCTTTGACACTAGGCGGCCTTTGAAGAAAAATCTCCTCAGTAGAAACCGTAGTGAGTCTGCTACCAGCTTCGTCGTCAACTGCATCACCAAACTTAGGCCATGACCTTCTCTGAAAGGCTCGCTTGCTCGTCTTGGTACAAACCTTGCGAACCTGATAGGTGGATGTGACCTTAACCATGTCACCAGCTTCATTGAACTTGCAGTCTATGACTTTCTTTATCCCATTCTCGTCAGGGCCAATGACTTGGCGTGGAGGGAGAGGAGGCAAGGCAAGTTCCTCCTCGTTGTCTTCAGCTTCGACCTGATCAGCCCAAGAGAGCTTCTTTGAGGTCGGGGTTTCTTCATCTTTAGTCATGGTTGACACTTACAGGTTGAGAGGTTTGTAATGTTAGTTAAAGGGTTTTGGAAGGGTTTTACGTTGGAAGGATTGCAAGAAATATTCTGGTGGAATGTTAGGGGAGTCCTTGTGTCATTGACATAGCAGCCATGGTTTTTCTAAGTATTCCTACCAGGAAAGAACAACCGTTCTTTCTGTTCCTTTGGCCATGTATAAGGGTAACAGCGCACATGAAGAAAATAATAAATGAAACTATATTCAAATTGCATGTAGGGCTATGCCACTTCTTTTTTTCTTTAAAATTTCCATAGAAAAATTACATTTCATGCTTACTTTTTATTTTTGTCATATTATTGTATGAATTAAATAATCCCAATAGTTAAAACTATTATGTCCAAAACAATTATCCACTCTAATTGAATTTAGTAAACTATAATTGGATATTAAAGGGATATGAATTCAAATAATAATTTAAAATTTTAATCTTACAAAATAATGAAAATTTTAATTAAGAGTAAAATTAAATTAAAAAATTACTTTATTAACACTAGAGCAGCCCAGATGGCCTCAGGTGACAAGGCCTTATAAGTACGTCAAAGCATCAAAAGCTTGGCTGGAGGCCGACGCAGAGTCCGTGACAGCACTACTGCCATCCAAAATCTCTCAGATTTGTTCAGAGTTCAAACCCCGCAAAGCTCACTGTCACAGCTCTTACAACTAAACTCTGTTCAACCCCAGTTCTGCCATTGATCTAATTGGAAAACAAACATTAACGGTTTGTGTAAGTCCGACTCAAGCTCCCCACTTTTTCAGTGTCTCTGCCACCTTAGACCCATCCATCTATGATCAATTTTTTTTCCTTTTTTTTATGTATGATTTATGGGATTTGTTGATTAGCCAAAGTACTCCCTAAAAGGTTTCACTGTTTGAGATAATCTGTATTTTGGGTCTGCTGTTTTACAGGAAATAGAGATTTTTGGAGGGTTATCAGAATGAAAGCACTCATTCTCGTTGGCGGGTTTGGAACCCGCTTGAGACCGTTGACTCTTAGCGTGCCAAAGCCTCTGGTGGATTTTGCTAATAAACCTATGATACTGCATCAGGTTTTCTTATTTTCGTCTGTTTTTTCCCCTGATGTCTTTAGTTTACTTGTTGTTTGTTGTTGGTGTGATCCTTATTGATTTAAAACTTTTGTAGATTTTTTAATGATGGGTAATCCTGCAAAATAGATTTAAGCTTTTTCATTTGCTTGAAAGATATATTTGATGATTCTATAGCCTTATCTTCAGAAAGCTATCACATGGTTTTTGAAAGATGATCAACTTCTATGCTAACAAAGTATGAACTTTATGTTGCTGTGTTAAAAATGTGAATCATTCCTAGTCTCTTTGTTTCTTTTAATACCAGATTGAAGCTCTCAAAGCTAGTGGAGTTACTGAAGTTGTTCTGGCCATCAATTACCAACCAGAGGTAACTAGAAAGGACCCTTTTCTGACTGAAAATTTCATGCTGGTAACTGTGTTATCGACTTTTTCCTGAATTAAGTTGTTCATACTAATTTATTTTGCAGGTTATGTTGAATTTCCTGAAAGAATTTGAGAAAAAGCTTGACATTAAAATCACCTGCTCACAAGAGACTGAACCACTTGGCACAGCAGGTCCTCTAGCTCTGGCTAGAGACAAGTTGATTGATGGTTCTGGTGAGCCATTCTTTGTCCTCAATAGTGATGTTATAAGCGAGTATCCACTACAAGAAATGATTGATTTTCACAAGGGTCATGGAGGAGAAGCTTCAATTATGGTGACAAAGGTAAAGTGGAAACTGGATTTCACATTCTTGTTCTTAGTCAAGGACTAAACCATTTTGCCTTACTAAAAAGGATCTTACTTTTGTTTGAAGGTGGATGAGCCATCAAAATATGGTGTTGTGGTTATGGAAGAGACTACGGGCAAAGTTGAAAAGTTTGTTGAGAAACCAAAGATATTTGTAGGTAACAAAATCAATGCTGGAATCTACTTGTTGAACCCATCTGTTCTTGACCGAATTGAACTGAGACCCACCTCAATTGAGAAAGAGGTCTTCCCAAAGATTGCGGGAGAGAATAAGCTTTATGCTATGGTGCTACCTGGGTTCTGGATGGACATTGGACAACCAAAGGATTATATTACCGGCCTGAGATTGTACCTAGATTCTTTGCGTAAAAAATCCTCTGCAGAATTGGAAGCTGGATCTAACATTGTTGGAAATGTTTTGGTAGACGAGAGTGCTGTAATTGGTGAAGGGTGTCTCATAGGACCTGATGTAGCCATTGGTCCCGGATGCATCATTGAGTCTGGGGTTAGGCTGTCACGCTGTACTATAATGCGTGGAGTTCGCATCAAGAAGCATGCTTGCATCTCCGGTAGCATTATTGGCTGGCATTCCACTGTTGGAAGGTGGGCTCGGGTGGAAAACATGACAATCTTAGGAGAAGATGTTCATCTTGGAGATGAAGTTTACAGCAATGGAGGTGTTGTCCTGCCTCACAAGGAGATCAAGTCTAGCATTTTGAAGCCAGAAATTGTCATGTGATCGCAATGGTGAACTTGGAATTAGCATTTTGAGAGTTCAACACTGCAATTTGGTTGTCTACCTTGTCCCTCTTCGGCTTTTCTTTCTTGTTTATTAGGTAAAACTCCAGTTGGAATAAGTTCGAGGGGTGAGTGGTTGATTGGTTTGTAGGCTTAGAGAGAGCAGTAGGCATTTTGTTAATGGAGGACAGATGCAGAGGCAACCTCACGGATTTGTGAAGGACAAGTCTCATGTTTTTGGAACGCCATTGACCAAAACTCGAGAAAGGGAAAATGTAGACAACAAATACATGACATTGTATACACTCAAGTTATATATTGATTAAGTTAATTGCATTTTTAATCCTTTATAATGTTGTGGAGTTGCGTCTGTCTCTCTTTCAGAATGATACTCTTCGGACTAGATGCCACAATTGGCATTTGGGTTGGGACTTGGGACCTTCTGTCATCTAATGGATTGTTATAAGCCTAAACCATGTTTTCTTCTGGATGATCAACGGCCCTGGAAAAGGTATTTCAAGATGAAATCTAAACCACCAAATTCATACTTTTGAAACATATTCCAAAAGGAAGTTGTAAATGATAAGTCGATTTTATGCTAAAGTGTGATTAAATACTTGAATGTTAACATCATTTTTAATATGTAAGACATCTATTGTAAGATAAAATCATGAGTTCCAATAGAGAGAAACGAACAATATAGACCGTGACGGGCTTTGAAAATACCAATAATGTATGGCTAAGGACACTGGGCTGTGTTAAAGTGGAAGAGAATGTGAAACACTTTCTGTGAGACAAGTGTGAGGCCTGACGAGTCAGAAAGAACAATATTTTACAAGCTGGCGTGGATCATGACACTAGTACCTATCTCTTGTTCAGACAAAACACCATTCCACATTACACAGAATGTCTGTTGGGAGATGTAAGAAATGAAAGCTCACATGCCTTTCATTTCAAGACCTTATTTAAGGTCCCAAAAACACGACCTAAGCCAACATGGGGTCCACATGAATTTGATAATATTGTTTGTTAATGGTTGAGAACAAGTAATATTTGAATGAACTTGAATACTAAAACCAAAATCCTTAATGTGCACAGGCAAAACTTTTCCAGTTCTCCAAATTGTCAAAAATTAAGGCATAGGCAAGAAAAGGAAAAAGAAGCATTTACATGTCAAATAGGAGATACTATTGTGTGCGTGTATGTTCACTGTTGAGCATGGGATTGGGAACCGCCGAGCCCTTCAGAAAGAGGCTAAGATCCAGAACATGACATGAGATGACATTGCAATCAGAACCCATGTGATGAATGCCAAAATTATAGATATTTCATATTGCCTGCAGGGTAAATGAGCTTGAGCCCTGCAGAAGTCCAAGTCTCTTGCATACAGGACTATAACCCCTGCTGATGAACATGCAGCTGCCAGTGATAACATAGCTGTAACCTGCACGTTCAAGGAGGATTAGCCAGGTGATATACAATTTCAGCCGGAAGAGTATCAAGGAGAAAAAAGATTCACAAATGTTAAGCTTCATGAAGGAAAAAACTGATAGAAAACTACACAAACAGAACTCCGAAGATCCAAATGGCAATTACTAGCATTGCTTCAAAAAAATTATAGCAAAATGCATGGAGAGTTCAGATACAGATTATGAAGACAGTGATACGATTGTACTCTATTTTCATTCAGAAATGGTAACAGGTGCTCACAAAAACTAGCAACGTAGCATATGGAAAGGCTGTTTTAGATAGAGTAAGAACTACTTTACAGGGTCATGTAAACCACTTATGGAATCACACACAACCTGAATATGAAGAAATCTGAGGAAGAAAGTGAGAACTGATGTGAAAAATGACAAATATTGCAAGTAGCAAGCAATTTAAGGTGGAAAAGCTGATTTACATCAATGTCCATGCATACTTTTAGTGACTAAAGGAGATTACAGAAGATTTTTAGAAAAAGGTTTCATACCCAATCACCTACAACAAATAAGCTCACTAGAACTGGGTTCTGAAGATCTCTCTTTCTCCTCAAAGCATAAACATCAAGACATGCAAGTCCAAAGCTCCATAGCAGTTGAAGCCCCATAGATGCAATCAAATAGCTGAAACAAAGAACAAAATAAACATCAAAACTGCACTAATGAGAATTATTACAGTGCATTTCTATTCCTGCCCACCCCACCCAACCTAACCTCCTTTTACTCTTTTCCCAGGGATATAGTGCAGTGAAAAAGTAGAACAGCATCTGTAAGAGCCACAGCCACTTTACTTCAGAAATGGCACTATGGAAGGTAAACATAGATGCTATTTTATACCTAGCCAAACGAGCTGTGTCTTTAGCATTTTCACAAGAGAAAATCAAATTCTGTGAGACTTCAAAAAAGACCTAAGAAGCAAATTCCTTTGAAGTTGCATGTTTAAAAGATAACACATGTATAATAGAAGACTCGTAAAGAGGTTACATAGTTTCAGTCAAATATGCACTCAAATTTATTCAAACCTAAATTATCCCTGTGTCTCAAATTTCATTAAGACAAATGAATGGCTCAGTTACAGACTGTTATCACTATAAGCAGACAAAAAACTTAAAACAAGTAACTTGCGAAACTGCCATCACCACATGACATATAGTAGCAGAAAGGCTCCATAGATCTCTGTTCAGTTTTCCAACTGTTACTTCTAACACAAACACTCAGTTCCAAACAAGATTTGCTATTACAAGAACAAAAATATACTTTAATCAACCAGTCCCCAAATACTGCACCTCCAACAGGTATATACTTATAGCAAGGTCCATTGTGGCAATAACATTAGAGTAGTAGATGATTCCTTCTGCCTAACCAAGTAAATTAACAAATGCTAATTTGCACAACTTCATACAGCTTAAAATCCAATTTTGGAAGATTCAGTAGGCTAAACGACTAGGTCAGAGAATATTTCATCCAACTGCTGTTACAGATTGAAGTTACCAAAATTTCCATGCCTTTCATTTAATAACAGAAAAGCTGGAAAAAAAAACTCAAATTTCCACATTAAACCCTCTTAGGTCAGAGCTTCTCAACAAGCATATCACAAATCATACCAAGAAGCTCTGGACCAAAATTGAGCTGAAGCCTAAACTTAAAACCCAAATGGTAATCGTTATTTTCCCACTCCTCACGCACACTGCTAAAATGTACCTAAACATGCTCCAATAAATTCAAACCAGATCAGTATGAGTAGCAAAAACTGCTGCACGACTGATATAACTATAACTGAATAAATTTGCAGTACTACATACCACCTTTTTAACTATGCAAAGAGGTAATAATCCACATGTCTAGAAATCAGGTCAACTTCACCTTTCACTTTTCCTATTCTTTCTACCAGTAAGGAAATTATCTTTCGCCCATAGTTTTGCCTAAAAAATTCAGCTCCCGAGCTGACTAATCAATGTTTGCTAGGACTAGTTAGATTCAAAAACATCATTTTCAACTAAAATTTGATTAATGATTCAACCTCACAATACTCAAAAATGGCAATAAATAAGAATATTAAATTTATAATACACCCCAAAACAAAACAAAGAAAGCCCACTAAATCTAAAAATGTAAAACTAAGAGCAGAAAAAAAAAAAGGGAAAACAAAAGTACCAGAAAGCGGTGTAGGTAGAGAAATCAGAGGTAGAGACCATGACTCCAATGGAAGCAGCAGCAAATGCACATTGGGTTATCCTTAGGGTTAACCCACTCACTGTTCCCGGACTCCCTATCAACTCCTTCATCCTCTTTCTTCAAGCTAAAGGGCCCCTCCCCTATCCCCCAAAACCAAAGGGCCCTTCCTTCAAAAAAAGGAAAAAAAAAAAAAGAAAAAAGGCAAGACACCCAGAATCTTAAAGCGCTTCCATTAATGGGTACTCAAATCAGAGTCCAAATCAGCTTCTTTCTGGTTCCACTATCTCATGTAAAAAGAAAATCTATAAATGAAGTGGGGATTTTGGAGATTTGGAGTTTGGACCACCCTGCTATATATAAAAAGCGTAGGATTTAAGGAATACCCTGAAATTATGATTAGCTTAGCAGATCATAATTTAAAAAATTTTGGTGATATTGATGGTTTGATTTGATGAAGGAACAGAGAGCGAGAGAGAGAGAGAGTGTGTGTTTTAGTTTCGTGGGTTGAAGAAAGTGACTGACAGTATACTACGTGGCTGTCTTCTGTTTTATTTCTTCTTTTTTTATCATCCATTTTCCATTTTTTTTTCTTTTCTAGTCAAATGGAGTTCCTTGTCTAACTTAAAATCATGATTTACTATCAATTATCAACTAATTAATGATTTCATAACAGTCTTGTCTGGTCATATTATATTTTTATTAAACATATCAATATAGGTATTTAATATTATAATATAATTAATTAAATTTATTTATATAATTATTAATATTTTATATTTACATTATCAATAAAGAATATAAAATTTTTCATAAAAAATTAAAGAATAATTATAAAAATAATCATAATGTTATAATATGTAATATATTTAAAAAATATATTTTTAATGATTGATATTAATCTATTTGGTTGCAAATTTTTATTTAAAAATTAGCTAAAATAATCGAATGAATCATCTTTTTTAATTGATTAATATCGGAATCAAAAAAATAAAACTATATTAATTAAATTCAATCAATTATTTCGGTTTATACCGATTAATGCTCACCCCTAGTTAAAAGGAATGCTTAAGTGCAAAAAAGTAAAGCTTGTAAGTGGGTGCACTTATCACAATTGTTCCCTTCTCATTAAGTTATGTACAAGTTTAATATAAGAATATTGAGGGCTTATAGGCATCATTAATGAGGATGGCCAAGGAATGTAGGGGAAAATCAAGCATAAAGTAAAAGGGTTTTAAGCAATTAAGGCACCTAATTCTCATCCATAAGGCTGTCTTGTTCCACCTTTAAGCACTGGAGACTTTTCATCTTAAACATTTTCACAACAATCTTCTTAATCTCTTATAAAATCATGCAACCATCTACCTTTATCATTTTCTAAAACATTATGCTAGAATATTTATACTATATACTTTCAAATAAATAGCCATAAGTATGACAAATTTACTTGCAAATTGAGCATAGAGTCATGTGACATTATATATTTAGATTACCACTATGACTAGGAGTGTGCGGCGGTCGATTGGGACCGTCCAACCGACCGCCACCGTCGGTTATTGTAACCGACGATTGTTTTTTCAACCGATCGGTTGCTTCGATCGGTCTCGTCGGCTAATCGGGTCGATTGTCGGAGGGGACTCCTTCCTCCCCAAACCGATCGAAAAACTGACTAAATTATTAATAAAAAAAACCCATCGGGCCTCGGGTGGCCCGTCCCGGACCTCACTAATTCCCCCCCTTCCGAGTCCTAACCTAAAACTCCTACCCATCGCAGACCTAACTCCTCCCCCCCCCCTTCTCGGCCTCTCGAGTCCCGACCTAATTCCCCCCGAACCGACCGAAACCGACCTTCTAAAAAATCGACTGAAACCGACTTTATATCATTGTGGTTCAGTCGGTTATATCTCAAAAATTTTTACTCGGTTTTGACAAAAAAACGACCTGAAACCGACCCATGCACACCCCTAACTATGACATTAAAGATCCTTAAGTTGCATGTTTATAATCGAAATTTGCATCCTTCAAATTAAGGATTACACTATTTTATATTTTAAATTGAAATTTTTTGAAGAATAAAAAATTTTCCCTTTAATTTTAATATAGTTTAAATATTCAAATAATCGTTGTATTCATGTATTTTCATCAATTTAATTTATGTATTTAAAATTTAATTAATTAATCTCTCAATTTTAAAAATTAAAATAATTTAATCCCTCTACTTTAATGGTTAATATTTGTCATAGAGGTGATTTCTTCCTTGTTGGACTGGCAAACCCAAGAAAGCAAAGAAAGCAACAATTGGAACTCGGAGCTTAGAAGAAATCATAAAAATTTCCATATTTAAACATGAAAAGTACAAATCTTGTACAAAATTGAACCAAAACTATGGAAGGAAAGACATCTGCCACTTGGCGACGGTTTCATCCTTCCATGAATGCTAACACCTAACAAACAACTAACAAACCGACACCTTCCTGGGAAGTGCCAAAACAAAGCACTGTTAAACGTTTCGCAGTTGTGAAGGTCTGTGTTTTCGTCCTCCTCGGTTCTCAACGTTCTTTGGAAGAGAATGGCAGATGATATCAGATTCTTTGAACTGAACACAGGAGCTAAGATCCCTTCTGTTGGATTAGGCACTTACGGTGCCAAACATGGTGTTATCCAAAACACTGTCATCACTGCCATCAAGGTAACTGTTTTCATCTCTTTCTCTCTCTCTGGATGATTCTTCTTTGGGATTTTCAATCGATTTTCATTTGGGTTTGCTGTTCTTTTTGTTGATTCAGGTTGGGTATCGGCAAATTGATTGCGCTTCATTGTACGGCAATGAAAAGGAGGTGATGGTTTTACAGAATCCAGGATTTCTGCTACTTTCTTTTGATATTAGTATTGATTGAATTTTTTTTTTGGGTATTTTTTGTTTCCCAAATTGAATTAGATAATGCCATCTACAATTCTTTGTCTAACATATGTATTTTCTGGTTGATCCAGATTGGTTCTGCTCTAAAGAAATTGTTTAATGAAGGTCTAGTGAGGCGTGAAGACTTATGGATTACCTCCAAACTCTGGTTGGTTTGTTTCTTTCTTTCTTTTTCTTTTAACTCAGTTTTAGGCCATTTTTTTAACTTTCCCTATCTAATCTATATTACATGGAACTTCAGGTGTAGTGATCACTTGCCTGAAGATGTACCAAAGGCATTGAATAAAACTCTGCAAGATTTGCAACTTGACTATGTGGATCTCTATCTAGTAAGTGTAACACATTAGGCTGCTTTTGTTTACTGCATTGAGAAATATATATGATTCATCTGCTTTGAAAATGGTTGTATGGTTGTGTTGTTGCTAATTTGTGATGGAATTTTGAAGATTCATTGGCCAGTCAGTTTAAAAAAGGGATCAATTGTTGTTAAGCCTGAAAGCTTTACACAACCTGACATACCTGGTACGTGGAGAGCAATGGAGGCACTCTATGATTCTGGTAAGGCTCGGGCTATTGGAGTGAGTAACTTCTCTTCAAAGAAACTTGGAGATCTGTTGGAAGTGGCACGTATAACTCCTGCTGTCAATCAAGTGGAAATTCACCCTGTATGGCAGCAGCCAAAGCTGCATGAATTTTGTCAATCCAAGGGAGTTCACTTGACGGTGAGTTAGTAGATTGAAAGCAATAAAACCAGCATATTCTTCTTGGGGGCTGTGTAGTTGATCACTTATGTTTTGAGTTAGTTTTATCAGTCTTTCCGAGCCACACCTTTTTACACAATAGCCCATCTTGTTCTTTGATCTCAGGGATATTCTCCATTGGGTTCCCAAGCTGGAGAAAATGTCAGGAAGAAGGTCCTGGACAATCCGGTTGTTAAAATGGTGGCAGAGGAACTAGGGAAATCTCCAGCACAAGTGGCTCTTCGCTGGGGAGTGCAAATGGGTCATAGCGTACTTCCTAAGAGCATAAGTGAGGCAAGGCTGAAGGAAAACATTGATGTTTTTAACTGGTCTGTACCTGAAGATTTGGTTGCCCAGCTTTCTCAAATTCAACAGGCAAGTAACGGTTTCATCTGAACAATCTTTTGATCAAGCACTCTGTTTTTTCAATGATTGCATCATCTTAGTATCGGGTACAACTATGTTGCTCTAATTGCAGGAGAGGCTAGCAAGGGCCGAATATTTTGTGCATGATACTTATGGCGTATATAGGACTGTTGAAGAACTTTGGGATGGTGAAGTCTGAGCAGACGTGTTCGGAAAGTGGTTACTACTATTTTCAGTGGTTATGTTCTACCTGCATATGTGTAACTTTTTATAACTTTCTTCAAACTAAATGGTACATTATTCGCCACAGATATGCTCATTGACAATGTATTTAGGTCTTGGAAGGTGGAAAAGAATTTTTCCCCTTTAATTTAAACATAATAGACAATGCTGCTATGTTGTTTCCCTGTTGTTGCCTGATTTGCAATAGACATGCTTGTTACAGGTTCGGTTCATTTCAAGTTCAGGTCATTGCAATAGAGCAGCAGTCGCTCAATCAAAAGAGCCACAGCATTTTCTTTTAATCTCATAACCCATTTTTCTCATTAATTAGGTAAAACAGGGAACTGTTCTTGTTAAATATTAGTATAATCATTTCAAAGGCACTAATGACTAAACAGACTCTGAAAGGGAACAAGACTGTAGCAGCATGTAACAGGCGCTCGGGTGAGTTTGCACCAAATTTTTCTGACATAAACAGTCTCTGAACAAGTGTCAATCAAATCACAAGCATTTCGCTCACATGCAAGCAAGATCTCATCAACCAAGTAAAGGTTAAAACGAAAAAAACAGCAAAAAGAGACCACAATGCAACCGTTGAAGTAAGAATCCTGTAGTAAGTGCTGGTTTTGTCTGCTACCTTTATCTGTCCAGTTTTGCAACAGTTGCAAGAGATCTTGCAGATGAAATCAGGTTCTTTGAACTGAACACAGTCATTGAATACTATTCTTCAGCTTCGTTCGTACTTCACAGTTAATGGAGCAAGAACCAACCTCCTAAAGGAAACGCCATTCAAGAGTCAAATCTAAGGCCTGCAATTTCACTCCAGTTTTGGCAAAGCTCATTTGCCATTGACTTAGGTACTCTCTAGATATATTGAGGATATCAACTTTACCAACCTGATTTTTAAATAAACCAACATGATTTTGAAGTTTTGAAGTCCTTAACAGATAACAAAACCATTTGTTAATCAAAGAATCGCAGTTGAAGAATCACTCTCAATATTCAGCATAGATGTTGCATACATGATAAATCCTTCACAAATGGTAAGAAACTCGATATGGTTAGAGTCTGCACTACTTATTGATGATCATATAGTAACCCATAGATATTAATTAAGTCTTTTTGATACGTGCAGAATCATCGACATTAAATTTAATGCGCGTAAAATCATCCTCGTTAAATTTGGAAGTACCCTGGAAGTAAGCATAAGTATGATCAGTGACAAAGTCATCTAAAGATGGAAATAACTTGAGGCCTTTTTACTTTAAAACCACTATGCACTAGCTAATGAAATGGGGTATTAACCTTTCTAGAGTTCAACACAAGAAGAGTGAGGTGAAAAAGAAAATGCAGACGTAAGAGCTTACGACTTTGCAGGCCATCCTACTCAAACAATCTATAAATGACATGTGCAAGAGCCAAACGTAAGGTCCAGAAGCAAGAATAGACTGGCCCGCAGCAGAGCCTCATTCAATCATAAACTTCCATTAATGATTCTATTTTCCTTACATTGAAAATTTTAGAACTTGGCTTCAGAGCATTCAACGTGACAGAAAAAGAAGGCAGGGGGAAAAATCCAAAGCTTGGGGTGTGTAGTCACACCTGTATCAAGGGACCCTATTTATGTTTCGTAACGCTTTTTCCATGTTTTAACGCTTTTGCTGATCTCTTTTGCTGCTGTCTTTCTATAAACAAAAAGACTCCATCAATTTGTCGGTAGTCTCTATGAACAAAATGGCTCAGGCAATTCGATACTTTGAGCTGAACACTGGAGCTAAGATCCCCTCTGTTGGACTGGGAACATGGCAGGCTGCTCCTGGTGTTGTTGGCAATGCTGTTGCCGCTGCAATCAAGGTATTTTTCACAATTATCACCTATATGTATATATATAATACAGTCTTTTCTGGATAATTTTCTTGGAACTGGACAGCTCTCTTCAAAAAATCCCAAGTAGCTAACAAATCCTAATTAAATATAAAAGTAAAGTTATTGTGAAAATTTTGGGAAATTGAGGAGTGACTGCTTATCGCTCTGTGTTAATGCAGCTTGGTTATCGGCATATTGATTGTGCTGAAGCCTATGACAACCAAAAAGAGGTAATGTCTTTGTTTTTTGCAAGTTCTTCCCTGGAATGAATATTCATTTTCTGAGCAAATTTGCATCGATCTACATTCTATTCCTGCTGAATTTATATTCGGCTTGCGTTTATGCCTTGATTTTGATGAATGATGAAAATATGAAGCAAAATTTACTCATTTCCCATAGTTTGATTCATGTAGATTGGTTCTGTTCTGAAGAAGCTCTTTGATGATGGTGTTGTGAAGCGTGAAGATCTTTGGATCACCTCCAAACTCTGGTTTTCTCTCAATTTCAGAATCCGTTCAAGTGCTAACATATATCATATATGAAATTTGCCATTCCAAAATTGAATTTCGAGTGTAAAACTAAAAATCTGTTTAGATTGCATAAGTTTTTACCAGAGTTTGTTAACTTTGTGGAGTTAAGGATGTGAATTACGACTTTCTGCAGGTGCAATAGCCATGCACCAGAAGTTGTACCAGAGGCATTAAATAATACCTTGCAAGACTTGCAGCTAGACTACCTAGATCTCTATCTAGTATGTAGAAATGTTAACACAACCATGTTTCTTCCATTTTGGCCTTACTATCATAAGCCAATTTTGTTCATGATTTCTTAATGAGTGACAATCTTGATTGTTTAATGTTTGAAGATTCACTGGCCTGCCCGCATGAAAAATGGGGCAGTTGGCTTTAAGCCTGAGAACCTAACCCAACCTGACATACCTAGTACATGGAGAGCAATGGAGGCACTCTATGACTGTGGCAAGGCTCGAGCTATCGGAGTAAGCAATTTCTCTTCAAAGAAGCTTGGAGATCTGTTGGAGGTAGCTCGTGTTACTCCCGCTGTACTTCAAGTGGAATGCCATCCTGTCTGGCAGCAGCCTAAGCTACATGAATTCTGTAAATCCAAGGGAGTTCATATAACTGTGAGTGTGCACACACATTTCACAAATGCAACCAACAAATTTTGAGGTTTGAATTGACATTGATGGTGTTAATGCCTGCTACTACTAGATAAGTTCACTTATCTATAGAAACTTAACATTCACATAGGTGAAAAGTTATTAAGGAGGTTCATGATATATCATTGTGTTGTAGTATGTATTATTTTCTAATGGGCTTCAAACAGCCATCCGTTCTTATGGAATATCCAATTAAGAATATTAATTGTCATTGTTTCAGGGGTATTCACCACTGGGTTCTCCAGGCACAGGAACCGTCAAGACACAGGTCCTCAAGAATCCAATTCTGAATATGGTTGCAGAGAAATTGGGCAGGTCTCCTGCTCAGGTTGCCCTCCGTTGGGGAATGCAAATGGGTCATAGTGTATTGCCTAAGAGTACAAATGAAGTGAGGATCAGAGAAAACTTTGATGTTTTTGACTGGTCTATACCTGAAGACTTGTTTGTCAAGTTTTCTGAAATTGAGCAGGCAAGTTACTTGATCCCCATTTTTACATGGCTGGTTTATTGTAGCTTATGATCTAAATATGAGGGCTTTTGGTATAGTTCAGATTATTGATTTCTTCTTTTATGCCTTCCAGGAGAGGCTGATCAGAGGCACCGGATTCGTGCATGAAACATATGGGGCATACAGGACTATCGAAGAACTATGGGATGGTGAGATCTGAACACAAACCAGACTTCGAGAGCCTAAGCAATCTTATTCCTTATAGCTGTATTTTCCCCACAAAGTTTGTTTTTAAAGGTCTAAGAAGAAATTCTCATAGCACTTGTAAAGCAGATTCATGCTGCTGCTAAAGTTTAATATAAGTGAAGGAAGCATACTACTTCTTGGATGTAATTTTCTGATACTTATGGTGAACTACAACCTGATGGTACATGTCTTCCATTGCAACAATTTAAAAACCCATTTTTGGGGGAAAAAAAAAAGAGGTATGCAAGATCATAGGATTATGCTGATCATCTGATTCAACAACAAATGACCAGTGCAAGAGTCAAATAGATGGTACAAACACTCTTCCATTAAGAGTCATGTAACTTTTAAGTACATTGACAAAGATTGGGTGAGTTCAACTTTGAATCTTGGTCGTATAAAGCCATCAGAGCAAAAATTTTCAAAGATATTGGACAATCGAATATAAGCAAAATAATTTGATCCTGAAACTGTTAAGGTAATAGTATTGTTACATTACTTAATCAGCAGACACTGAATGAAAAAAAACAGAAGGAAGGAGGAGAAAAATACAAAGCTTTCTGGTGACAGGTCCCAACTGACACGTGCATGAAGGGACCGTGCGTTTGAGCAAATTGCCACTCGTGAAATGAATGAAGCAAAGATTCTGGCTTATCTCTATTGGTCTCTTTTGGCTGCTGTCTCCTGTCCGCATAAAAAAGACTCCCTTTGGTCCTAACACTCGGGCGCAAAAATGGCTCAGGCAATGAGATTTTTTGAGCTCAACACTGGGGCTAAGATTCCCTCAGTTGGTCTAGGAACATGGCAGGCTGCTCCTGGCGTCGTTGGCGATGCCGTCGCCACTGCTATTAAGGTAGAATTTTCTCCTCTCTGGATGGTGTCTTCTCTTATGTTTTTGGTCAACTTGGCTTTAGATACTCCAACTTTCCAGGAGCAGGAGGTGCTGTGGGTGCTTCTTGTTCTGCACCTCTATTAAAATATTAAAATGTTAAAGGGGATTTGACTTTTGAGCCAATATTTAGATAATTATGAAGCTCATTAAAAAAAACCAGTAAAATTTGACTCATGGTTTTAGCTAATCAAATGCTAATTAACTAAATAAAATGGTAGAAAATAATTTGTGAAAAGTTTTGGGAATTTAGAGGAGTGACTGTCACTTGCTATATGTTAATGCAGCTTGGGTACAGGCATATTGATTGTGCTCAAGTCTACGGCAACGAGAAAGAGGTAATTGCATGAAACTGAATTTATACTTTATCTGTTTGTCATCTTCAGTGATTGAAGTTAAGTTTTGATGATTCTTACTTTAAGTTAATTTGGTTTTTTTATGCAGATTGGTTCTGTTCTGAAGAAGCTGTTTGAAGATGGTGTGGTGAAGCGTGAAGATCTTTGGATCACCTCCAAACTCTGGTTTGTCTCAATTTCCAGCATCCTTTGGGTAGTTCATTTGGTTTATTCAGTGTTTCAAGTAGTCCATTTTGAAGACTTAGCAGAATGAATTTATTGTATTTTCTTAAGGAACACTAATCATGCACTGGAAGATGTACAAGAGGCAATGGATTCTACCTTGCAAGACTTACATCTGAACTATCTAGATCTCTATCTAGTAAGTAACTTTCTGCTTTACACATGAAATTTCCTAGTTTTGCTGTGAGTCAAACTGATAGAATGCTAGAAGAAGATAACAAAGTTGTGGTAACTAGCCTATGGCCATATGAAAGCTTTGTATGTTTTCTTACTATGGTTTTGCTTAAACATTTGAAGATTCATTGGCCCGTCAGCATGAAAAAGGGAGCAGTCGGCTTTAATCGTGAGGACCTAACCCAACCTGACATACCAGTTACGTGGAGAGCGATGGAGGCACTCTATGATTCTGGCAAGGCTCGAGCCATTGGAGTAAGCAATTTCTCTACGAAGAAGCTCGGAGATCTGCTGGAGGTGGCTCGCGTTCCTCCTGCTGTAGTCCAAGTGGAATGCCATCCCGTGTGGCAGCAGCCTAAGCTCCATGCATTATGTAAATCTAAGGGAATTCATTTAACTGTGAGTATGAATATTTAATTATTGATTTAACACTGTAAAGCAGCCAACTCTAGTTGAAGTTTATGTTGTAATGCAAATTCACTATTTTGAGTAAAAGCATACCAACAAAATTACTCGTCATTGTTTTTTCAGGGGTTTTCACCATTGGGTTCCCCAGGCACAGGAATCGTCAAGATTGAGGTCCTGAAGGACCCAGTTCTGAATATGGTTGCAGAGAAACTGGGCAAGTCTCCTGCTCAGATTGCTCTCCGTTGGGGGCTGCAAATGGGTCACAGTGTTTTGCCCAAGAGTACAAATGAAGTGAGGATCAGACAAAATTTCGATGTTTTTGATTTCTCCATACCAGAAGACCTGTTTGTCAAGTTTTCTGAGATTGAGCAGGCAAGTTAAACTTTCCCCAATTTTCAGTTATTGGTCTGATGCTCCTCTCTCAATCCCATTCCTGATGCATCCATTGGCATTTTAGTTCAGCCTATGATAAAATATGACCAGGTTCATGGACTATGCTTTGCTTTAGTTCCAGTTCAGATTACTGATTTCATGGTTCATGTCTTCCAGGAGAGGCTGATCAAAGCCACTGTATTCGCACACGAAACATTCGGTGCATATAGGACCGTTGAAGAACTATGGGACGGTGAGATCTGAAGAAAATGCCAAGCAGATTCCCGCTGCTGGCCTGCTTAACTACACTAGTACTACAATAAGTGAAGAAGCTACTTGCAGTATGTGATCTTGGTTGTAGTTTCTCTTGGTTCCAAGCAACAGCTCCATGGCATTTCCCAATGTAGCAATGTTATTTACTCATCAAAATTGAATGTAAAACACTGTGTTCCAGGCCAAAACATGAGTCAAAGAGCTGTAGAAAAAGGGTGCTTAATTTTCTTACCAAAACTTGGATGATTGGGTCATGGATGTCGTCACCCTCAATGGACCACGGGCTAGCTGCCAACCTTAAGTCATTTTTCGAACCCCAACCCTGTCACTAAGCTATTCGTAAGTCAGGACCAAGGAGGCTAAACATCCTAACCAACGATTCTATTCTTAGCACAACTTTTTTCAAGGCATAATATTTTAAAATTTTTTAATTATTTTTTATTATTTTATATTTATATACTTTTAATATGATTTGACATGATATTAAACATAAAATATCATAATAACATGTCATCATATAATATTAATATAATATTTTATTTATTATAATATTTTAATATATTATTTTATAATTAATAATTAATTAAAATATTATTTATTATTTTATTTTTATGTTAATATAACTTTGACATATGAAAGTGCTACAAGATTATTAATATGACATTTTATCATTTATTATAAGATTTTAACATATCATGTTAATATTATTTAATATAAAATAATAAATAATATTTTTTTTTATAAATTATACTATGCAAAATAGGACAGAATCACATTAATTGGTATGAATATGAGGAAAATGGCATTAAAAATCAATAATAACTTCAAAGCGTAGGCCCACCTGACAACGAATTGGTTTCCTCGACCAAAACACATTCAACAAAACAAATCCTCGCCGTCCGCCGCCTTTACACGTTGGGGCCACTTTCCGTTTTCCAGAACAAACAAAACCGCAGTAAAACAATCACCACCGTTGAATTTGCCAATACTCGTCTGATCGAAGGAACACGTGGCGGAAAGCCGAAGAGATTTCTTAAATGATCCCCCGCTTATAAAATGCGCGGTGGTGTCCGTTTCTTATAGCTGTTGTTGCCACCAGTCACGCTCGCGTTTCAGTTACTCTTTGCTTCCTCTTTGATTCTTCGCATTTCGCGTCGAATCCACGGGCTTCCTCTTTGTACTTGTCGGGACATTGCAAATGGCGAGTGAAATCAGATTCTTCGAGTTGAACACCGGAGCCAAAATTCCGTCCATCGGTTTGGGAACTTGGCAGTCTGAACCTGGCCTCGTCGGCTCCGCTGTTGCTGCCGCCGTCAAGGTATATCGTTAACAACTGTTGTTGATCGTCCTCACTTCGCTGAATCCTTTGTCTTCATTGGAAATGCACTTTGTTGATTGTCTCCTTTTTTTTGTTTCTGTCCTGTTCTGTTCAGATTGGATACCGCCATATCGACTGTGCTCAAATGTACGGAAACGAAAAGGAGGTAGAGTTATGACCTGTTTGGCTATATTTGACTTCTTGTTGGTAAAAGAAAAACTTGTAGTTAAAAGGAAAAAGTTGATGTTTGGGTGCATAAATATTACTGTTCGAATAATTAATATTAAAGTTTTATTTATTTTTTAATGAATATATTGTATTATTAGTAGTAATTAATCAATGTGTGCATGTCTTTATTTGTTTTAGATTGGGTTGGTTTTGAAGAAGCTGTTTGAAGATGGTGTGGTCAAACGTGAGGAGTTATTTATCACCTCCAAACTCTGGTTTGTTTTCATTCTTCTGTTTTATGTTAATCCAGGGATTTCTTTTTATTTATT